AGTAAAAATAATTTCATTTAGGATCCATCATCAATTATTCGTCAACGAACATATCGTAAATTAGCTGAACATTTACGTGATCCAATATGTCCTATTGAATTACTTGCATTATTAACATTTGCAGCTAAAGAACCTGAACGTGAACATCGTGAACAAATTCGTCGTTTAATGTTACAAATTATTGATACACGTCGTGAACATATTAAACTTCAATTATCTTATAAAACTGCTCATACAACAATACAAAATAATCATGAACATACAAATGGTTTTAATCATGATAATGATGATGATAATACAAATAGTTCATCAACAAATAATGATAAACCAATTGATTATACATTATATCCAGAATATTCTTTAACATATTTTCTATATTTTCTTTCAAAATCTCCAGCATTTATTTTATATGATGATATTGAAATGTTACATACAATGACAGATTATATATTATTTTTATTTGATGCTTTATTATTACGTTGTGATACAACAGTTGGTTTATTTTATAAAGGTTTATTACGTTCAATAAAATCATCAGAAGATGCAACTATTGTATTAGATAAAGAAGAAAAAATTGAACGAAAAGATGCTATTAAAAAATTACATGTTCTTGTTGATTTAGCATATGTTATTTTATCACAACGTGCATCATCATTAATGATGTGTCGAGCTAGTTCAAATGTTCCATTACCTGATATGTATTTTAAAAAGACACGTTATAATCATTTATCTTATTTACCAAAAGATTTTAAAATTAAACTTAAACCAATAACAACAACAACAGTTAGTGATACATTAACAAATAAACGAACAATAATAAATAATTTAGAAACAAATAATAATGATAATAATAATACAACGGCAACATCAATTAGTACAATAACAACAACAACAACAACACCTAAAACAACAAGACGAAAACGAACAAGTGGAGGAGAAAATGAAAATGAAGATGATAATAAAGAACAAAATTTACCTAATAAACGACGAAAAACTTCAGCAAATACGAAACCACAAAAAAGAAAAATGAATCATTCAATTACAGAAAATGAAGATAACAATTCAAGTAAGAAAATTTGGTTAGCACAAACCCTGCGGAAATGAAATATCCTATTGCTAATTACAGGAAGATTGCTTTGTTCCATCTAGTTTCAGACACATTTCTTCACCATCTTTTTATTTAATCCTTCAGAAATGTAATAAAGAAGTAGTCCATACATAATAATGAAACGTTATCTTTATACATTCTGGAATCGTAAATCAACGTCCGTCACCATCATTGAGTTTAGAGTCCGTCCAGTCTAAAATTATCCGACAAGATTCAGTGGAAGAGAGTCCAAATGTTTACACTTAGATTTCAACACACCTTTAGATCGTGTTTCACAAAATAAATTTCAAATCAATCGAAATGAGTGTTTTACATTAATTAAGGATACCCCCCCCCCTCTTTTTTGACACTTTCTGATTCTCGAAGACGGTCCGACCGATCAAGCTCAAATTTTCAGCACAGATAGAGCATCAAAAATAACGAGATACGTGTTCGAGAAAAAAAATTTAAATTAAGTTTTTATGGGGTTTTCAGGAAAACTCTGGTTTTCCAGAGGTCCGCATGCTGATACATTACGACCCACCCTTAAATTTTGTCCGATTGGGCTGAAATTTTGTTTATAGATACTCAACACTATTTCTCAGAGGTAAATTTAAGGATTTCCAAAAATCTCACTTCCTTATTTTTTTATAAGAAAAATACACCAAGATTTGAGTTTGTGCTTCGGGTCTTGGCTTTCGCGACCCTGTAACTCCGCGTAGGAACATCACAAACGAAAACGCTCGATTTTACCTCTGGGGAATACTCTCAAGTATTAGTGGTAAAAATTTCAGCCCGATCAGACAAAATTTAAGGGGGGTCGTAATGTATCAGCATACAGACCTCTGGAAAACCAGAGTTTTCCTGAAAACCCCATAAAAACTTAGTTAAAATTTTTTTTCCTCGAACACGTATCTCGTTATTTTTGATGCTCTATCTGTGCTGAAAATTTGAGCTTGATCGGTAGTACCGTCTTCGAGAATCAGAAAGTGTGAAAAAAGAGGGGGCTACCCTTAAAGTTTTGTCATGTATTCATCTCATGATCAGTAGAATATATTTAGTTATGATTTACATGAGATACTAAGTTCTTATTTCTACGAAATTCAAGATGCTTCCAGCGACATTGCTTAGTTTGTATTATACATTATAAAATTATGAGTGGAAATTTATATTTCCTAGAAATTCATTATAGAATCATAATAGCTTCAACAAATAAGCAAGATCAATCATGCATTCTGTTCAAAGCTGTTCTTTAGTATCTGATATTGAGATAAATTATCGTTTCTGAAGCATTTTCACTCTAGAAAGTATTAGATACCGTTACAAAGAATAAAATGATTCGACTAAATTAATAGCTTAAATTTTTTACGATAATATGTACATCGAATGGTCTTGACAAGATTCTGAAAGTTTCAGTTCAAATGAATGCTTTTTTCTTGAGACATTGAATTTTTAGAAAAACTCAATTTTCTTATGGAAATATAAATAATATTTGAGAATTCAATATCTCGACAAGAAAGCATTCATTTGAGTTGAAATTTTCAAGATTTTGTAAGAGACGTTAGGCATACGTACAAAAAAAAACATTTCAGATTGAAATTCGTATGTTTCTGTTAATACATTATTCAGAATACTGAAAATTCATTAAAACACTCATAACTTCGAAAAGAAGATCCACAGTCCCTTATTTAATCAAGCTTTTACTGGTCTCACTAATATCTATTTATGAGCAAAAAACATTAGTTCAATAGGTATTGATGGTTTGGGGATCCTTCTTAGTTAGGTTAAGAAGATTAATAGCGGATTTTCTGTTTTCTTAAGTTCTCAATTGATTTATGATATAATATATTTTAATGTTTAGCTTCATCATCGATTAATAGTAAAAAGTCTCGAAAAAATCCAACAACTGTCTCAAGTCGATCACGTATAAATTTTCCATATGAAAAACCTCAATTACGTTCAGCATCGGCATCATCAGCATCATCATCTCCATCACCACCAACACGAAAAACAAGACGCAAAGGTCCATCAAAATTAGCAGCAAAAAATTAAATGAATAAACACTATACATTTCTTATTTCATTTGCAATAATTCAATTTTCTTGTATATATTTAAATTTCTTAGATAGAAACGATATAAAAGAATTCAAATGTTTATTTTGCTGTATGTTATAAAATACAAGCAAAGAAAAAAAAAATTATATGTAGAACTGATATGTTTAGATATCTGTATTCTTGTTCTTTTTTTCTTAGTTCTCTCTCTTTTTTTTTTGTTGCACATTACATATTATGTTTGATGTAACAAACACAGACTAAATCCACACTTATATGTAAATTTATTTTAAAAGATGATTTTTGAAAAATTATACATTGTCAACTATCAAGTAGATGTTACTTATGAGCCAATATGTCCATGAATTTTTGTCTGATTCTTTTGCTTGTGCAAGCATTATGTGATATGAGTCGTTATTTTTTTTTATCTTGACGACGTATTATGCTTGTGTAGACATTAATGTAATTTAAACTTGACAAAGAAAAAGGCAAGAGAGAGAGAGAGAGAGAAGACATTGTTCATTTAATGTATATGTGATTCGATTGGCAATATCGATGCTGTCAAGTGACAAGTACTATATAAGTGTCAAACAAAAGAATTGTGTATATGTTTATGATGCATAAAAAACATTTTCTTCATGAGTTTTTAATTATGTGAAAATAGAGAAGAATGTCTTGAATTTGTTTTTCTTCAAGAATAAATCTTGTCGAAGAATATGATATTTATTAAATTTATTGGTAGATCTTATTGAATAGTTTTATAATATCAATAGACTTTCAATAATTTATTTTACAGTAATAGAAAACAAGAAATTTTCTCTATGAATATCTTCATTGTAAAAATTATCGTCTCCATTCTTTTGATATGAAGATTTGTTATACAAAATTTAATATCGATAAGACTATTAAAAAGAAATTTGAGCTAACTACAATCAGATTTAATAGAGCACAGAAGAAGATTTGCATTTTTTTTTTCTTTCATATATAGGTTAAAATGAACATTGAATACGACAATGAAGAACAAATCGAAGATAACCTATGGTATGAATAGAGACAACAAATTTGAAACCATCTGTTACATCGACCTTATTGAAGGTTAATGTATTTAAGCTTAAGCAAATGACTTATATGTATGTCTGAAATTTGATTTAGAATAATATATCTATATATTAGATAATGTTTAGTTTATGATATATGTAATTATATGATAGGTAATCATTATATTGAAAAGAAGAAGAGAATAAAAGAAGCCAAACATTTGCATATTATTCTTATGCTTATCGATGACGACATCTTAATGTCTTCTTTACTTTTTAAAGTTATTAAGTAAATGAACAAACTTTTGAATTATGTTATTTATAAATAAATAACAAATGAAAGACTTTTACACATTTTAAAAACAACTTGTAGAATAATAATTCGAAATAATCATCAATTTTGTTTTTAATAAATTTCTGTGCTGTATTGTTGACACAATGGAATATACGTATATATTTGCATTCAATGTCTTTCTTTATTCAAAAACTCAGTTGATATGATGTATGAAAGTGTAAAAAAGAAAAGAAGAACAGAAAACTGCTTCGACTATTGTATTGTCTGTATGTCAATTTGTGTAATCGAATATTGAACTGAAGTTCTCTTCTTTCTTTCTTTTCGTTCTCAATTTCTTTTTCTTTTCTTTTTTTGCCTTTCGCAATACAATCAGTAGCTGCATCACTGTCAATGCCATTCTTTTCTAGTCGATCTGTTTCATTTCTTTGAATATAAAAATTTACTCTTTGTCGATGACTACGTAACATTAAGAGAGAAAAAGAAAAACGAAGAAGAATTTTCTTTTGAAAAAAAACAAAACAAAACAAACATGACACAAAGAAGGTAGATAATCATCATTATTATCATTTTCTCTTTCTTTCTTTCTTTCTTTTATTCGTAGGTCAAGAAAACCAATTATGTCTGATATGTATCGATTTACAAATTCAAATGATGATGATGATGATGATGATGATGAAAAACATTGGTATCATATACGTTCATCATCGCCACCTTCATCTATCAGTATTAATAATAATTTTTCTCATCAATTGTCGCCGACAACGATAGGCTCATGGGGCTTTGACGTTAATCGCTCAACAAATGGACAGACACTGTTATCATGTACATCAAATAATAACAACAACAATGATCAACATATAATAACAAAAACAACAAAAGATTATAATGAACATCTTGTTGATATGTCATCATCATTATCTTCTCAAAATTTTCAATTACGCACACCAACATTGACTAGACATCGTAACGGAAACGAATTTGCAGCTGTTGATCGTCTTGTTCTTGGACCAAGTCGAACTATAAAATCGAATCATTATCCACCGGATGATTCATTGCCACAACAAATGATATTAACGAATCATTCTCGAAGAAGTTCAAATAATCATAGAAAAATAAAAGCAGAACAAGAACTTATAGCTTGGCAAAATCGAATGTTAGATAGGTTTGTTTCATTTTGAGAAAAAAAGCATATCTTTTGTTTTTTTTTGTTGTTCTTTGAACTATCTTATTTCTAGAGATCAACAAACTGCTTATCAATCACCAAAATTAATCAATAAAAGAAATGGAGTATGTATCATTGTTTTCTTTTTTTGATTACAATTTTTTCTTTAATTCTTAGTTTCATTCTTCTCAATCATCCAGTCGTCAAATACGTAAATATTAGATACTTAATAATAGAAACAAATTGATGTTCTTTTTTCTTTTTAGCTTCATCAGTTCGAGCAATATCTGCAATGTCAAATATGAGTGAAAGTCAATATTTTGAACATGATCATGTGAATTTTTTTTTTAATTTCATTTATGAATATCTAAATGAACAATTCTTTTCTGTTGTTTTTTTTTTGTTTTTAACTAGCATGAATCAACAATTAAATCAGCACGAGTTATTAAACGATATATTGAATTACTTTATCATTTACAAACATATTATGAACGTATAACTGATCAATTATTTAATGGAAATAAGTTTTTGAGAACAAAGTATAAAGAATAATTAATACAAAATTTTAATATTATATATTTTTTTGATTAGTCAATCATCTCAATCAATATTTATAAATCATTGTCGAAAATTTTCTGAACAATTACAAAATTTCAAACCAATTTGGGAAGAAAAATTAGCATATCTTCAAAATATACTTAAAGATATATCATCTTTTCAATGGTCAACAATAAAAAGTGAGGTTTGTAAATAGTTGATTTAAGAAAAGATGCAGACAAAAACACCTAATCAATTATTCATTATAGACAACATTTTTACAACGTCGTTCAACTTTAATTAATTTAAAACAAACATTAAACACACAAAAAGATCTTGATGATACTGATTTATCTATACGTGTAAGTCATATTGAAGATATAAAAAAGTTTTCTTTTTCTTTTTTCTCATATTTAATATTTTTTTATAGACTGATATTGAGCGAATATTATATGATGATAAATTAGGTAAGTTATATTTATCGTTCAGAAGATAATTGTATTAATAATCGTTTTAATAAAGCTGTTCAACTTCAAGATGAACTTTCAACATTACTTCAACATCAGGTTCGTATTTTATCAGCATGACTTTTTTATGTCTAAAACTTATCTGTACATGAATACTAATTTTCTACTGAATGACAATACAAATAAATAATAAGTATTAGATATGGTACAATAAATAGTTAACTCTCGTGATATTGAATGAAATTGATTTGAATAATTTTTCACCGAAAATTTTCTCCTTCTGTTCCTTAGAGTGAGATAATTGCTTCTATTTTACTGTTTTTGTTCTAAGTAAAATTTATGACCTGTATTACTAGTTCAGCTAGATGTTGACCGAGCTGGTTTGCGTGCACAGTGAGCAATTTCTAAAGGGTATGTGGACATGGCTTATTTCATGTTAAAATCGCATTTTTTTCCACAGAAATACGAGTTTCTACCCTTCAGAAAACAATCATTGATGAAAAAAAACGTGAAATCCAAACAATAATTTTTTTGATCAAAAAATCCCTGAGGGGCCCTTGCCCTAATTTTTTGTCAAAAAACTTTTTATTTGGAAAGCTAATAAATCATACATCATTCGATGCAGTTTTGTGCGCTGATTCTAAATATGGTATTTGTATTGAATAAGAACGTCTCTAAAACCGAGAAAAATTGAAAATACCTGGAAAAAAAACATGGTTTTTTCGAAAACCTGCTGTAGGGTCTACGAACATTTATGCTAACTGTGATTATGGAGGGCATATAGGAGAACATTCTGCCAAAGTTTGAATAAGTTTCAAATGCGGGGCTGGAGGAGGCGCTCATTTTACTAATATAATCGTTTGGAAAATCACAGGGAAAAAAAGAAAATTTTTTTCTCAGAAATCTTCAGTAGTAATTGACCACTTTATTTTATTAATCGGTAGCGGACATTATGCAAATTTATAATATATATTGTTTTTGGTTGTCACTTCAGTGGATTCTGTGAAAAAAAAAGTGTGTTGTATAGATGGTCCTATTTTCAGGTTGATGTTTAATTATTTTTAATTATCTCATTTTCCACTCTACTTGAACTTCGTAGTAAAACTTTTAACGCCATTAAGTAGTCCATAGTTCGAAGTATATCTAGCATTAATTGAATCTTGCAAAAGTGCACTTTCGATTTTTCACCTAAAGTCCACTTGGTTGCCCACTGTGCGTGCTCTTATAAAAATAGTCCAATAGTGTTGTTTCAACAACTATCAGTTTTATTTTCTTCTATTCTTTTATATTGTTTTTTTCCCCAAATGAAAGAATATTTCATTTTTTAAAAAGCTCAATCAAAACTGTGTTACTTGAGCTAAACTTATATCATATATGTTTTCGGTGAAGATCAAATTTAGGTTTGGATCTGATAGATAAATGACTCTAGCATGATACTTCTGGAGATTTGTAAAAGTCTAAATGCAAAAGAGAAAATGAACGTTTTTTTTTATACTTTTCTGTTACGACTATATTGAAACTGATGAAAACAATTCTCTTACTATAGATAAAATAAATTGTGCGATAAGTTTACATTTGCTTCAAACTAAAAAATAAAGTACGTTCAACGAAGTGAATTTAGTAAAGTAAGAAAGAAGCAGAGACTCGTAGAAGAAACGAAGAATGCTAATCGGTAATTCCGTCGAACGAAAATACAGAAGTCTATTGGTTTGTATTAAAATTCTATCGATATTTAGTGAGTTTCATAGCGGAATTTTTCAATTTAATTGACGAGCAATACTACAGTTTGTGTATTGTGCGACAGCTACATTGAAAAGGAAAATGTTCGATTTTATCATATTTATGATGTATATCTATTTTAATAAGTGTTTGTACAAGAAGAACTAAAGTAAATCAGATTAATCTTATGCGCTGATTCAAAGATGTCGCCTAGATTTATTTAGGGAAATTTCATAATGATAAAGAAAACTTCATTGCTTGTGCGTATTTCTATTTGAAAACAGATCCACATCACTTCAACTTATTTCGTTGTTTTCGATATAACTGTTTTAATTGATTGACTGTTTTGTCGGTGCAAAGCATTCTACTTTACCTACTAGACAATGAAGCAATATTTGACTAAAACTTATGATAAGAGTGTCTCCTTAATCGGTTCCTGATTGATTTGATCCAAAAATTAATTTTCTCTGAATTCGACTCTTGCTGAAAAAATCGATTCTAAGCTCGACCAGTCTATTGTTCATTCATATCCACATCTTATTTGAGCACATTCGATTTGTACAACATAGATATTGTTTACACACTTGACAAAGTATTTAAAACCCGAATAATTCAGCAGCTTCTGATTTTATTCAGTAGTGGTAAAATTAAACATGACAAACAAGTGGCGACACAAATAAAGAATATAACTATTAGATCGATGGTTGAATTGCAGAATACTCTGTCAATTCGAATTGAAGATAGTTGTCTTACAAGATATGAGTATTATATACCGTCAACTTTAATTCTCATCGTGATAGAAATAAATCAGGGTTCAATTTGAAAAAAAAACTGAGCTTGGAATCGATTCAAATTGCTATGAATGTAATTCAGAAACAATTACAGTTGGACAATCTATCTTAATTTTCAATCCGAGACGAGTTTAGCATAGGCTATAATGAACGTCTTGCTTCTCCATTTTCAGATATGCTAACGAATATGAACTATGATCGTGACCTTTTACGTAAGAAAACGATGTTCTCTTTTTCTCTGATTTCTGTTGACAAGTCATATCTTTTGAGTAATCGATGACTAGACTGTTCCAATTGGATTGAATTCAGTTTATTTATGAACAGTGAATTGAATCGTTTAGTTTTTGATACTGATGGATGAACTAAATATGAATCTATCATCACTTAAGTCATAGAAATATTATCATTAATATAACATCCATTAAATCTGTTCAAAACTCTAAAAAATATGATGTGTGCTTGAAGCTCGATCACATAATTCTATTTTCAGTCAATCAATTGTATTTTCTTTTCTATTTAATGAAATATATATCATTTCTTCATCTAAAAACATTCATCATAAGAACCGAACATACATTCTCTCATATACTGAATAATACTGTAAATTCGAATACAAACTATTCAAATCGATGTATATCTAATTAATTAAACATGTGTGTGTATGTGTTTTGTAGTCCTTATTAAATGATTTAACATCATTACTTCAATGGAATCGTTCAATCTATTCACCGAATGAACAAAATCGTGTTGAAAATGTTTTACCATTATTACGTGAACAAATTACAACAACCGATAGTTATATATCACATGTTAGTCAGGTAAATTATTATATCTAAAAGTTTTTTTTTTTTTTAATGTTTTTAATTGATTAAATTATTAAATAGCAATTAACTGAATTGGTAGTGAATTTACGTTCGTTAGAAAAATATATATTATCTTATATAAATACAATACCATTGATTGATGATGGTAAAAGAAAATCAAAAAATTAATTTATTCTTTTCTAAACATTTGATTTAATTAGGAATGGTACCATCACAAGATATACAATTAAATCGTAATCATTGGCGACTATATGATGAAAATGATTTAGATTCAAAAAAAATAAAAGTAAAAAATTGAATATAGATATTTTTTTTAAATTAAAAATATGGTTATTTTATATTCAGGAGTCTCGTTTACAAGAATATGATCGAAGTAAATTATTTAATTATTGTTTTTTTTGTTTATTTTCTTGATTTTGTTTTTTTTTTTTTTCAGATGGAAATACACATGATGATGATCTATCAAGTAAAAATATTTATTGATAAAAAATAAAAGCTATTTATTCATTATTTCTAGAGACAAGATCTGCTTCAATGTCTCGTGTGACGAATTCTGACGAATTAAATCATCATCATTTTGTAAACCATATTTTTGTTTTGTTAAGTTCCCTTAAAAAAAAAATCTGGAGGGTCTACCGAGACTTATTGCTTCTACGGGATTTATTTACTTTTGAGAACTTATTAGTTATGATGCTATTTCAGTATATCCACATTCACACCCACAATCATATCTTGTATGCATTGCGGAGCAGTCTAGGATTTAACCCAAAATTCTTATGAACTTATTAAAAAGTCCCGGTAGGTGCTGAACATATTCTGAAAATTTTATGTAAATTGAATGTACTTAGTTCAAGATCGATGTTTGTGATGAAAAGATGCTTAGTTTTACAACGGAACAAAAAAAATTCTTTTTTGTTGTAGAGCCGTGACGATCTACGAATATTAACAAAGAAAAGCAATACACATGTAAATGTAAACAATAGTAATAATAATGATACATTAACACGTCTTGCAACAGTTAAATCAGTTAAACGTGATAATAAAACTCAACCAAATGTAAAGACTTATCAGAGAAAAAAACAACAAAGATTTATATTCATAGGTTTTGATATTATTTTAGAGTATCCTTAAACCATATCCTCCTACATCATCATCGAAAGAAAGAAAAAAAAACTTTGATATTAATACAAAAGTAAATAGTTTCATGAAAATTTTATTATTTTATAAATGGGATTTATGTTTTTTTTCTTAAAGGTATTCAAACCAAATAGAGTTGACATACGTGATCGATTAATTGATTATGATAATGATGATCAACAATTAACAACTAATGAACATATAGGAATAATGAAGAGAAAAGAAGAAATACGAAAAATGCATTCAAAACAAAAGTAAATAAAATTTTTCTTTTCTATTTGTATTTAATTATATTTATTGTTTAGTATACAAACAACAAATGATCAGGATTTTAATGATGATTATATTCGATCACAATTTAATCATAGAAAATTTAATAAAGAACATGAAAGAGTATGTACAGAAAAATATATTTTGGTATTCAATAGAAAATTCGTTTTTTTCTGATCATATAATATAACATTTCAAAATTTAAATAGGATTTGATGAGACAATCTCTCTTCCATAGAATAGAAGCTTCAGTGTCAAACTTCTGATCTTCTAAACGTAATAGAAATCTATTCTATCCGAACAAGCGCAAAATAGTAATGTAAATCGTCGAATAGAGTAGTTCATTGCTTATCAATGTTTAGTTGTAACTTCTTTAGTATATTTAGTCTCGTTTGTTCTAAATGTTTGTTATTAACAAATAAACGAGTTTCTTTTATGAACCGAAAAAAATGTTTATGCATGGATATTGATAAGAGACAGGTATTCAGGAATAAGAACAAATCTCTAAATAAAAAAACACGAGATATCTAACAAAGCAGAATGATAATCGGTTGAAATTACATCAGAGTTTATCGGACTAAAAAAAAAACAAATATTCGTATGCGATGAGCATGATATTCATAATTGAAACGCTAGAAGTTTTTTTTAAAACTTTGTCAAAGCTCGATAGTTTCTAAAACTAAAGTATGGTAATAACCGCAACTATTATAGCTCGTGTCAAAGTTCTCAAACAGTTTGAAAAATCCAATGTATCGAATTTTGTATGCTTCTGTACTTTCAAGCGAATCAAGTCATAGTTACAACACAAAAGTGTTGATCGCAATAAAAGCCTACCTTCAAAATTTTGACTTGTAAAACAAATTAGAAGCTCAGTACGATACTATCTGTGGAAAAAGTAGGAGGGTTAGTACAAAAATTAAAGGATTCATATTAATGCCCAAATAAATTGAAGTTAAGACCTTTTTACTGTTTTTTTTCCTTCTAGGTATGATATTTATGAAAGATGATGTAATGAGTTGTTGATCTGAAATTTTACCTATAGGTACATCTGAAGACTATTCAAATATTCTAAAAATTTTAGAAAAAAAAAACATGTTTTCTTTTTGAGAACACAACATTCATTCTAATAGTCTTGATTACCATGACTAAGCAGCCGGGTTGTTCGATATTTATCCACAAGATGTTGTGTTCAAATCTCTTTATCACCCGTCGTAAAATAACTCTGAACAACTCACTAACAGCTGTTTGTCTTGGATCACCCATCCGATCAGTATACTGACTGGAAGAATTCTGCATCAGATTTACTTTCTATCTACAGCTAGTATTAGTTTTAGGAAATATATATCGTACTACTGAATCTGCCGCTAGGTATCACCCTATACCACAGGGCAGCTGAAAGCTAGGAATATTCTTTCTTCCTTATGGCTTTGAGCGCTATCTATGGATAAAATTGCATATCAGTAGCTCATAAAACCAGCTTTCATGAATACCCCACCGAAAAAATCAATAAATAGAACATGGAAAAGGCATCTTTTTGTTTTTCAATTTTCTCGTCGAATCTTTTGAACAAAAAATGACTGACATTTATTATTGATAGGCATTGAACTTACAATCAAAACTTGCCCAAGAAGCAAAAGAGAAAAATCGTCAAGTTACAGGTTAGTGAATGTTTCTTATCGGTTTGCTTGGGAATGACTAACAACTTGTAATCGTGTGTTAATTAGAATAATCATTTCTTTTCTTTGTTTCAAAGATTTATGATAACCATCATAGGGTGAGCTAATTAAAAAAATCTAATTCGTTTGTGTATATGTCTCTCTGTGCTTGATATTAGTTTTTTTTTTTGTTGGAATTTTAAACTTTTGGTATTGAATTTGTTTTTTGTTTTCATTTTAGCAAAACATCCTTTGTATAAATCATATCAACAACGATCAATCGCTCCTAATTCATAATTAACAATGGTAGTGATGATGTTAGATTTTATATTCATATCTTTTTCTTATTCTTCTTTTAATACAGTGTTTCATTTCTTTAAGCAATTTTTCAATTGTATTCTGTTGCTTGTATCACTATTTTTTATATTGTGCATGTTTTGCTTGTGTACTATGTAACCGAAATTTTTTCTTTGAAATGATATAAAATAACATGTTTCTCGAGTTAATAATTATATTTATACCGAATAAAAAACCTGAGAATCATAATTTGTGATATTTGCAAATAATTTCTATTAATAAGACTGATATGGCATTATATTATACATTTTGTTCTAATATAAAAATTCTATTCGTTAATCAATAATACTTAAACATCATTATTAGTCGACAACAACACTTAACAACAAATACTACGTATGATGAAACATTACCAACAATAATCAATATCAAAGCGTGAAAGTTTTTTTTGTTTAGACATTGAATAGAACACTATTAAAAAATAAAAAATTCATAATGTTGTACTTATCAAAGATGAAATTACTAATTATCTTAGTAATGATGATTATCATTCGAACAGATTTATTATCATTAATCAATCCCTAAAATATAAATGATTGAACAAATTGACAATGAAGGTTTTAACAGTTCCTGAAACATCATCGCTTATAGAAAGAATCTTTTCTTCATATAGTTTTCTATTTCGATAGCAAGGCACAAATGTCAAGAATGATCATACTAAGATGTATAATTAGGGTGTGGGTGTTAACATTTTTTCAGTAAATTGCGAAACTTGAAAAAAATTCAAGTAATAACTTGACCTGTGTCACGAAAAACTGATTTGTTCATTTTTGTGTTCGACGATCATGAAAAATACTAGTGAATATAAGTGTAGTGCACATTTTTCTGTGTATTTGATCGATTTTATAATGACATCAGTCAAGTTTTTCAAACCACATTATACAGAACAAGCACAATGATGCTAATGTGTTTACACCATTAATGAAATATTCAATTAAAACATCACGCAAAATAAATTTATATATCATTATATATACACTAAAGCCTAATTTATTTCATCAAGCATAATTCGACAATATAATGATTTGTTCTGATGCATAGAACAGCGTCGATATATTACATTCTTAATATGATTGTGAGCGTACAATAATGTTTGGCAAAAATACAACGACCCAATGTGTCTCTTTCAATATTACATTCTCTTCCCAAGGATTTTGTGGCCATGAGTATCAAGAGTATTTTATTTGTCTTAAAGTGGAACTACTAACCTTGTATAGTGTGATTTTCGTATCACAACGATTGTTTTTCTCGTGTCAAAAAAAAAAACTTTTCGAAATCTTCTACGAAATGAACAGCAGATATTGACTACTATAAAGGCATTCTCCTCAAAAAGCGCCTGTAGCCTGAACTGTCGATTCGATTTCTGAGTGTCAACGTAAAAATACAATTATTCAATATTGTATTCTTGTATCATTCAAAAAAAATTTAATATAGCTGAAAATAAAATACGATATCATGTGAAAAAGAAATACTCTACAGGATGTCCCATGAATAGCATCACGACAAAAAAATTAAATATCTCCAATCTGGTTCGATCGAATGGGCTGATTTTTTGGTTGATGATGAAGCTTTATTGAAAATTGTTTTTCATACGAAGAATGTAAACAAATAAATCTATTTATTATTATTACTGTCGTCATTCAAGAAATTTGATCTTCTATCAAGTATGAAAAAATACATGTGAAGGATTCCATATATCATTTTTAGTGATCACATCAGAGAATAGCAAGATACAATCAAAACAAAATTTATGAATGATACAACATTCATGCAAATATACCAAATTTTAAGAAAATCGAACTGTGCTGGAGATATTTGAAATTTTTTGTCGCAGATCTACTCATGGAACACTCTGTAAGGAAGCAGTTTCTCAAAAGTGTAAGTATTTCTTCAATGACGATTGTTTGAGAGTTGTCTACTGGATTTTCTGTTGACATGAATATTTGCAATCAACTAGGATTTTGATTTTTATCTGTGAACGATACTGGTTACATGCTAGAAACACTTAGAGGCTTCAGTGTGTCTATATCCTAAATCTATCGACTTAAAGACGTTCGAAAG